TTTCACTTCTTATTTTTGCCCATTTCAGATGAAAAGAGCATGCGTGTATGTGAACATCTACTTCTGTTTTGTTGAGGAGAAGTCATTATATTGCCAATTCAGCAGACCTCTTATTTGTTGACTACATGAGGAGTTTTCAGGAGCACAAAACAAAAGCATAATACAAGCATGACCTTGAAATTATCATAAAGTGCCTCTTTCACTCTCATCCAGCAGTTTTGTTTACTCTTGAGAGCACACATAAGCATAAATTAAACACGTAATGCCTTCTGATTGACCCTCATAAATGGACAATCAAGTTATTCTCAAATGTATATATTTGTATTAATCTCAAATGTAGATATTCATTGTATTATCGTTATTATATAATTTAACCATATAACATAACATCTCCTACAGCAGAGGTATCAACCTCAAATGACTTGAGGGCATCTAGCCAGTTGACGTTCTCCATCAAAGGATCTTACAACCATTAATTTGATCTATATACAGCTATTGGTTTACAATTTGGTTAGGTTTATACTAATGTCAGAATTAGCTAAACACTTTAAATGGTAAATGTTCTGTGTGTTTTCTTGAGGGAAATCATCTATATTTAAATGTCATTGACTGGATTCAGAAAAATCATTAATGATTCAAAAACATGTATTCTGCATGCTTTTACATGAACAACATACACAGAAATACCTATACAAAAACAACCCAACCAAGGCATACACTTAAAGTTAGATTTAATACTGTCTGAAAAGACTTGATTTGCTGCACTGATTCCTGGAATAATGACTGTAAACAGTCTTGTGTTAGCTACTTAGATCTGGAACAAATGTATGATTTAAAGGACATAACAAACATCTATCTTTCAGTAGATGATGACATTTTATGGGTTTATAAATCCATTTTAAATCAGTTTTTCTCCCTTCGTGACACTCAAACACCAGTGATGAAAGCGGGAGAATGTGGTTGGTTGATTTGCAACAGTTTTTTTTCCCCTTTCCAAGAAAACACACCAACAGGGTCACGTGACCCTCTGGCCACTACCTCCCATTGGACTGCAAAACAAAATGAAGCCACATAAAGTGAAAAGTTATCTTGCAAACACAAACTTTATTTATCTATTTATTTATTTATTTATTATTTATTTATTTCAAATTTATATATTGAAAATATTGAAATACGCTTTTGGTCAGACAGGTTAAAGTTATGAAAATATTTAAACTGAGCTTAATCATATTATAAGATACCTGAGAAATATCAAGAAGCCTGTAATGTTTGACTCTGCCGTTCCCATCACAACTATCAACAAGGCAATGTCTGTTTACTCTGCAGACTCGACTGGCAGTGCAACGTGTGACTCTATTGACCTGTCATCCATCACGGCCCGCTGGAGACACACATTTCAGTGTGTATCACTCAGCAGAGCTCGTGCTTCCCTCGGCGCTCCGAACTCAATTACACAGATGCTGGTGCGACACAACATCCTCTGCAAAGCCAAGCCATTTCAGACCCTCGCGCTATCATTCTTACTATCCTGCTGTGTGTCTATCTCTCAGTTCTTCTCTTTATAACTGCACAGTGGTATCTGTATCATGTTATATAAACAACTGCAATTAGATACACTAAATTAGATACACTTTGACTGAACCAATGTTGTTTACAGGCCTATGATGGTTTTCTTAGTAAAACTTTACAATAAGGTTTCATTTGTTAACATTACTTAACATTAACAATGAGAAATAATTCTAAAGCATTTATGAATCTTAGTCATTGTTAATTTCAACATATACTAATACATTACTAAAATTAAAAGTATCTGTTTACATTATTTAAAGGACCTGAGCTGAAATGAACTAACAATGAACAGTTGTATTTTTATTAACTAACGTTAAAAGGAACAGATCGCCAAAAAAAGAAATTTGCTTTAAATTTACTCATCCTCAGGCCATTCAAGATGTAGATGAGTTTGTTTATTCATCAGAACAGATTTGAAGAAATTTAGCATTACATCACTTGCTCAGCAATGGATCCTCTGCAGTGATTGGACTTGTGTGGATTACTTGTGGATTATTGTGATGTTTTTATCAGCTGTTTGGACTCTCATTCTGACGGCACCCATTCACTGCAGAGGATCCATTGGTCAGTAAGTGATGGAATGCTAAATTTCTCCAAATCTGTTCCAATGAAGAAACAACCCCATCTACATCTTGAATGGCCTTAGGGTGAGTAAACATTAAGCAAATTTTCATTTTGGGTGAACTATTCCTTTAACAAAGTGAATTGCTCATTATTTGTTCATTTTAGTTCAAGGTGCTGTATGTAAGTTTTTGACTCTACTAAAGCATAAAAATACCATAATATGCTTGCAGATATTTAAGAAACATGCTAAGTTAACATATTTGTTTATCTGAAAAACAATGCTACAGTCAGTTATTCTCCTTTGAAAATGTGTGTTCCGGGCCGGAATGTCGGTCTCTGTTTTGGTTTGTGAAACCCGCCCACTGCC